TCTTATTGCTTCTTAAAATAGGTTTTTAGTACAAAAATTAAAAATTTTATACTTGAAAGTTGCTTTGTGAAGAAGTCAAAAAGTTGTCCCAAACGAAGCCTTAGGCTTTGATTGGGACAACTTTCTTAAAAAGCAGGAACAAAGCCGTCACAAATGAAGCCTTATTGATAACAACAATATTCAGCTTTTTTTTTTTTTTTGGTCAGCTTTTTTTTTTTTTTGGTATGCTTTATTTAGAATATCAACACAAATAGTTAAAGAAAATGCCACTAGCAAGTTGGTAAATATTGAGAATGAAATTCTCAAGCATCAACCAATCCTTTCAATTCTAACTGAAAATTAGAATTAAAATGAGAGTAATGATGGTGACTAGGAGATTAATGCTGAAGAGCCAGATGAAGAAAATTAAATTGTAATGTAATAAAGTCGAAAAAAGGAAGAAGATTCAAATGTTTAGGATTAGTTCAAAGAAGTTAAGCTATCTATGAGCTCATAGGATTTGTCTCATCAAGATCCTCTCTTTGGCTATAAGCAAACAATATTTGAAGATCATATGATTACTCAATTAAAATTATTTTTTTATTTATTGATACGTCACAAAAAATCACTTTGATTAAGCACGAATCTCAAGCCATATTCAAGTTGAAAACTTTAGAAATTAAATGTGGGATCATCTGAACTTTGATTTCAACAAATTTATAATCAAATTGAATGTCTCAGTGAGATGAAACCAACGACACTAAAATCTAATGTTGTGAAAACTGGACCAAATAACGAACCGAAAGGAGGAGATGTTCACGGTTTGATGATTCAATGAAGTCGAACCAGATAACATAATAAATACTAAAATTGCATTAAAATTGTAATTAAAATTGCAACTAATTGATATTTGGCTAACAACTTTTAGATTGTTTCTAAAAAAAATTAAAAAAAGCTTTGCCATTAAAATTGCAAATAATTAATATTTGACTAACAACTTTTAAATTGTTTGTAAAAAAAAATTGGAACACCCAAAAGAATGATTTTTTTTGCAATCAAATTTGCATATAAGAAAGAAATTCTTGAACATAACAAAATGTGATCCCCATATTTTTTGTCCTTTTCTTATGAGATTCTTAAACAGTTTGTTAAACGGAAAGGATGGATTTCAGCATAATGGAAGCCTGTAAATCCACAAGAGCCATATAAATGATAAATTCATAGATTCATCAACCTATAAATTATTGGTGTTTTATCCCATTTCCTTCACTTCAGACAAATCCTAACTACTAAGGAATGTGCCCTAATCAGCTCATGTGGTCAAAACAGAACAAAACATGATACTTCTAAAGCAAAAATAGTTGATGTAATCCAACATTAAAAACAAAATCTTATGAAGAAAACCATAAATAAGACAAATAAAATTTAGGTTTACAAAGATCTTATGAAGAGGGGATGCCGAGCGGAGAAGAAGGAACGAGAGAGGAACAGTGCCTATGCTGGGAAGGAGCTTCACATATTTAGAATCTCAATTGCTTTAACTGGATGACAAATGAAATCCAAATATAATGCTTATAGAAGAATCGAGTGACTCAATGAGATGAATCCAATGAAACTAAGATCGCTTAGTTTTGATATTATTAAGGCACTTGAATGCTGAACAAATGTTCTATGATCAAAAGAATCAATATGGGCCATGTTATGGAGTACTCTGAATCTATCCTCAATCTTCTCCATATTTATGGGGCATTGCCACTCTCAAAATTTATAAGTAGAATCTCTCATGCCACATAATGAGGGGGTATGACTTTTAGAGGCTTAGACCCTGAGCTAGAAACTCAAGAGAGCTCTGAGGCTTGAAGCATCCCAGAGCTCTACCACGACATCACTATTAGTGAACCCTTGCCATTAGGCAGTCGCCATTGGACACGACTACTATATTTTTGAATTTTATTGGGTAAAATGATAGTTATGCATTTCTTAAGATATTGCATATTTTATAATTTTTTATGTATTTCATACATCATTGTATTTATAGATGAAATGATACTATTGCTATAAGATGAATGTAGCAATTGCATATAAGCAAGGAAGGTTGACGGTTAGCATTATAATTAATGCGGTTTGAGTGTTAAAATATAATATCCAGCACAAGAGGGTGGCTTAATAAGCTTTCTTTTAAAGAAGATTGGTAGTGTGATCCTGCTTATAGCTTGCAATCGATTGACCAAATTATGCCGACAGGTAGAAGGTGATGACTCTTAAATGATTATGAAAGTTACCTTTGAATTGACTTACGATAATAGATAACTATGGTAAAATAAAGCTTGATGACTAATTATTTGATAGTTAGGGTTAAATTAAAAACTGATGATCAACTGGACGACTAAAATATACCGATACACAGTTATACATGACATAATAATGGATATGATTGATAAATGTATATAATAAAACTATCAATATGAAACTGATAGATTTATAGACTTTTTTTTATCATATTGATATATACTGCTTATTGATTGATATTGACTAGAATGGGAGCATATTGATTCGTTTGCCTTACATTGAAGGCAACGATGTATTTTGATTACTTTTTGGGTTTTTATGCTAGTTTTATATAATTTCAGGTAAAGATAAATAACCTGTGATTTGAGGCTTAATAGTAATGATATTTGATTTTATTTTAGTTCTTTGGTGATATATATTCTTTTGTACCCTATTGTGGCTATTGTACATATTATTTTGGATGATATTTATAGAATGTAAACATTGACTAAATAAATATAATGGTATTTTTTGTTGCTGTTTGGTTATAAGTGAATGATTATTGGTTGTTAACTAAATGAAAAAATAAGTAAAATTAACTAAAAAGATAATAAAGAGAAAATAAAAGAAATTCTTCCACTTTAGATCGTGGCGCGAGACACCTCCAACCTTCGTTGCATGTCGACTATGATCTCTTCAATTATCGTTGCCCGTCAACTACGATCCCTCTAACCTCCATTGCTCGCCGACTACGGTCCCTTCGCCACCATCGCTTGCCGACTATGATCTCTCTGGCCTCCATCGCCCGCCGAAGATGATCTCTCTAACCTCTATCACATGCCAATGATCCTCTACCTTAATAGCCCGACTACAAACCCTTTGACCTCCATTACTTAACTACGATCCCTCCAATATCCGTTACCCTGCTACAGTTCCTCCAATCACCGTCGCCCACCGACTATAATCCCTTGGACAACCTTCACCCACCGACTATATGGTGTTATGCCCCGAATCCTTATGACTCTCAATTAGTCTTCAGCTCCTTATAACTACCATTGGTGAATAAGTGATTCTTAAGGTTATCATGTGGCAGTTATTATATATCTAATACCAATCAAAATATCATTTCAGTTAGTTCAATATCACATTCTAGTACATATTAGTTCTATCAATCATTTTAGAATATATTACATTTTCATATTATATCAAATCACATTATATCATTTTAAACATATTTTCAATAATCATCTTTCCTACTTATTTTACCCATAAATTTTTATAAACATATTTAATTGCTAAAAACACAAAAAAATCATATTAAATTATTCAAAATGATCAAATATATAATATATTAAAAGTTACAGGGTGAAAGATTATGAAATCAGGAGATAATGTATTTTTAACATATTTATGAGAGATAAAATTCATATAAATTAAAATCATCAAAAGCAAAAGTAAGATAATAATTGCTTACAATGCTTAGAATATTTTTTATAACAGAAGTGATAGAACGAAAAGCCTTGGAGAGCTTCCTCTGTCTTTTCTCTCTCCTTTCCTCCTTCCCATTCTCCATTTCCTTCCCGAGCAAGTCACATCATGAATGGGGAAACTATTAGTGCCTAGCATCGCAACACTCAGACCCAGTGCCACAGCACTGCATGCATAATTCAGAATTACTGTAGAAACATAGACTCAAATGCCGTTGCGATAGTTTTTCATACTGTTCTACTCTCAAATCTAGTGCCACACTGCTCACAAGCATAGTGCCAAAGCATTCTAGTTTAAATAGAAATTCAAAAGTTCATATATTAAATTTTTTTTCATTTTTGGGTTATTACATACGGTCCCTTTGACAATCATCGTCCTATGACTACTATCCCTGCCACCTCCATCGCCGGTTAACAATGATCCCTTTGACCTTCATTATCCGTCGAATACGATCCCTTTGACCACCATCATCCACCGACTATGATCCCTCGGACCTCTATTACACGACAACAATCCTCTCTACCTTAGTCGCCCAACTACGACTACCCCCGACCTCTGTCGCCCGACTAGAGTCTTATTGACTAAATGAACAGGCCAACATTTTTTTGAGAACAACTCTCATATCACTAGATTCTTCTAACTTAAATTTTCTATATATGATGTATATTTGCTACATTGATCCAAGGCCTTCCCCCGAGGAAGGACATTGTTTGTAATCATCTATAAACACTTGTAGAATCATTTTAATTAACTGAGCTAGATCTCATATTATTTTTCTTTTCTAGGGGTTTTCAAGTAAAAGTGTTGGTGCTTCTTATGACTCTTGCATATCTCTCATCTATATGTACTATATCTTCGCATAAAACTAAGACATTAAACTCTATATCTCTCTACTACCACGAATGTTTCAGGACACAAACAAATATTTAAAGTGCTTGATTTGAGCACATTATAATTTAAATTATATCATCTTGGTAGGGATTTAACTAGTGATAATTATTTATATAGATGTATTATTGTCAATTAAAAAAACTATAATGAAGCTTTATATATAGCAAAAAAAATCAAATTAGTCCCCTAATTTTTCTAAATATTCAAAATAGTTCATAACTATATAAAAAATACTAATTTGATAAATATGAATTTAATTTTTCTTTTTATGAGATCATTTAGATCCATAATTAAAAGATAATGGTTAATCAGCATACAATTTTAATAAATAAATAATTAAATAGAATTCATGCTTTGCTAAAAAGATGTCTGCCTTGGAAAATTTCGTTAATTTTTTCCGTGGGAAACGTTAGAAGGTCCGTGGGAAATGCTTGAAGGAGGTGATATCTGAGATAGATGGAGTAGTCAATAACTACTTCATTTAATAGTGGAGTAGATCGTAGCTGCCGTTGAGCTGCCATTGCTCTTTCTCTCTCTCTTTTTTCAGAGTGCGCCACCGTCGTACGCCGCCGCCGTACCTCGCCTTTTCAATGTATCCCGAAGAATCGATATCTCAGATGGTAAGCAATCATTCTCATCTTGTTCTGTGAGGTGTCTGAATTCAAGAGGAATCTTCCTTTGTTCTTGAGATTTGATCAGGTTTGTTGAGTTGTAGCGGGATTGATTTGGTAAAGAAATCGATCTGTACGATTCATTATGTTTACTGCATGCATGGTTTTGCGTTTCGGATTTCTTGGAGAGATGGAACTCGTGCTGTCAAATTTATCTTGGGTTGTTGAGAAGATGAGTGCTATTTTTGTGGCTGTCTATTATTATTAGTTCGGGTGAAGCGAATTTTTTATCGAGGGGCGAAGTTCTCAGTGGAAACCTCTGATTTTCTGCGGATTGAGTATTTGTTTGCGAATTTTTCATTTGTGTTCTCATCCGTATGTTTAAACCCTAAGAAATCAGGCAACTTACTGTTAATCTTAGATGGTAACTGGAGTATTATAATACGTGCTATAATGTGAAAAGAATAAGGACGGGAAATTCATAAAATGATCAATAATGAAACAGAGAAATAGGGGCCCTTTTTTGTCTCTTCAGTAACAAAGATTCAGAGAGGGCCCCCTTATTTGCTCAGTGATTTTCACAGTTTTCTACTGGACAAGTATTACAGTTCAAGAGGCCTTTAATTGAAATTGAGATTTATTTCAGTCCTTCGTTGTACTAGCGGTTAAAACTTTCATTCTTAGCAACTTTTGTTACTGTTTATGCGTACCGTTTAATTGCGTCCAAACCTACACCAGCTTTTTTGATTGTTCAGATTAAGAGTTGAAAAGGTCTCAACATGGTTTAAGTCATCCCCTTGGTGGTTGCTTCATTGCAATAATGGACTGACTAATTTTGAAAACTTGCCATTGAAAGACTATTGGAACACTATTTACAATTACAAAGTTCTTGATTAAGCTAAATAACATATGTTCTTTACCGGTAATACAAATTCTTTAGTTTTGGAAGAAATGTGTTGGAGTTATTGATAATGATACTATGATAGTTTCAATATGCCTCTCAACAAATAGTATTTTGTTATCAGTCATGACTCATCATGCTTTTTTTTTTTTTAATTGATTATCTTGTTGTTTTATTTACATTGAGTAGCTATCTGCTTAGAACTTTGTAGCAACCAGCCATGATATAATAGTCCAGTTTTCATTCTAGATGCATAGATTAGATAACTATCAGATCCAAATCACAAATCTTTCTCCAAACAGTATAATGAATTGGATATCTAATATAGTGGTCTTGTGAAGTTCCAATGGAAAGCAAAATCTGTGACGACTCGACTCGAAAGCTCAAGTTAACAAGGTGGGGTCTGACGCTCGGACAGTTATTACAGTTCTTTTAATAACAATAATTACTCAATAGACTAATATCTAAAGTATAATTGAAGAGCCGCTAAAATAGTTTTTCAATTTGAACATATAACAAATTTGTTCTTACCTATTTTCATTTGATCACCTTCTTCCATATACAAACTTTTCTCTTTGAACTATTTAATGCATAAGAGATTTGCCTAACATTTCAATTTAAATATTTGAGTTTTTTATGATAAACTTAGTGGACAATTACGATTGATAGTATAGTAATTAAACATGTATATAGGTAGTCATGTAGTCATGTTCATTTATCTTTTTTTTTTTTCATTTAACAGACATATGAATATTTAATATAAATGTATATCAAAATTTCTATTCCTTTAAATACTTTTTTTTTTAACATTTCATGTATAACATGAACACCATCTAATTTTGTACCAATGAAGGTACAATCATTTTCATTTTCATTTTTCATTTCCTTTTCTATTTAACATGCACGGGTATGTTGCATCCCCAACCAGCCAACCAGTACCATAAAAAGGTGAACTCCTATATTTGAATGCATATACCTTTTTTATTTTAATATTTTTATTTATATATTACAATTCATATTATTCATTTTGCCTTACATATGCATATCAATTTATATAAATATTTCCATATTTGTATATACCATATTATAACATTGATTGTTTAATATTCTTCTTTATAATGCATAATAAATACTTTAGAATTTAACAAGTACAAAGGCATGATATACAATATCAAATTATTTAGTTGAAACAAAATATAAAAACATAACAGCTATAAAATAAATGTAATCATCCACTTCACTTCTCTTTTGTGTGTTGGCACTCTTCCAAATTCTTTTAGACTTTATATGACCTTCTTTAATGCAACACCTAAATTTTCTCAAGAATCTTTACTTGGTTTTGGTGCTTTGTCACAGCTCAAAAATTAAATTTCCTTCAATGTCTAAAATAACACTGCTTGCCTTAAATATTGTTAAACCAAAAATCTTGAAGAAATCAATTATTATAAATATATTGCTAAACAAGTTAGATGTCGTCAACAACAATATCAAAAGTCAAATTCCTCTAAGCTAACAAACTTTATTTCTAATCATATCGCATATAGTATTATATGAAATTGGTTGAAATTTTTACTTAAATAACTTGCATCTTTTACCTCAATTTTGCTTCTTACTCGTCGAGTTAAAATCTTATGAGTTGCGGCCTGTTATTTCTTCATTCATGTTGAATAAAATAATAAGTTGCTTAATAAAAAAATTAGCAAATTCTAAATTCATCCTCTCTAAAAAATTTCCTCCGTCTCTCTCGAGCGCATGAACTACTCTTTCTCTGTCTCCTTCACCTAAAGAATAAATAAATAAAGCAATGAATTACTAACCTATTTTTGGCAAAAGAAATACAAACTCCTCCCAAATTTTCTCTTGCACACAAAATTCTCTCTCTCACCCAATTTCCTTTTCTTCCTCTTGGTCACGGCCGATCACTGCCTTCTTTTGTTTGTGGATTTCACAGGAGGGAGCGAACTTAACTTATCTCACAAAAGGAGTCACGTATTTTTGTTTACAATTGCACAGCTTCGCTCGGTTTGTTTGATTTCTCATTCGGCGGTTCATCCGCTTGCCCACACTTGCCCATTGGCTCTGCTCTCTCCCACACTTGCTTGTTCACTCACTTTAGTTAGGGGACTGGTTCGATTGAGTTGGTCCAACCTGTTCTAACATATCCTCCTCACATTCTATCTTCATTAAGGATTATTTGTTCTCAAAATCTTGCAAGCACATTTCATTGGACCTACATCTTAGTTTTCTTAATTTGTGGTGCATAATTTTCTTCTGTTTTGAGTTCAAATTATTAGCTGAGCTATCACAAATCTTTCTAGCTGGTCAAGTAACTAGGAAAATTTCTACATGTTTCTGGCTAGTTTAGCATTAGTGTTTTTATTGGGCTTACAGCTTATTTTCTTAGCTCGTAGGGCATTTTTTTATAGTTCGTTCAAACTATTAGTCGAGATTCTAGCTGTAAGTAACTTAGAAAATTCCTTAATGTTTCTGGTTTGCTTAGCGTTAGTGTTTTTACTGAGCCTACAAACTAATTTCTTTGGGGCTGTTTGGCATCAGTTTTTATTTTTGTCTGAGATTTTTCTTCTGCTATAAATTCAAATTATTAGTTGAGATTCTAGCTGCAATTCAAAAACTATGGTAATAGTGGGTGAACATTTTGAAGAAATTTATTAATACTTTCACTTAATTTTATGTTCCATTTTAACTATAACAACTCTCCGTAGGCTTGTTTGGCATCCTAAACATCCTTTTGCATTACTTCTCACATACTTATAAACTTGAAGTAGGTCTTACCTCTCTTGCTTTTTTATCTTCTTAAATATGCTTTGAATACTTTTGGTAGGTATCTGATGGTAGAATGACACGTGATCTTCCTTTTCCTTTGGAAGAAATTGGTTTTTCCAACATGTCGTCCTCCTTAAATCCAGCGAGAGGAGATCATGAATTTTTGGAAGATCCACCCACTAGTGCACGTGATGAGCATCTGGTTGAAATCTCTGAGGCTCTTAGAAGTAAGATTTGCTTGTTTATTTCCAACAGGCTTATATTATTTCCCATATTTAATATAATTCTTTGCATATAATTTTTCACTATGCTAATTTTTTTTATTCTATGCATGTTAACATTTTCCACTTAAACTGATAAACCTCTCTAATTTGTCCAACAAGTGAATCTCTAATTTAATAATTTGAGGAGTGTTATACTATGTATTTTTAAGGTAGACCGCTGCAAGTCATTTAAAAATCAAGCAAAGCATTTTGTGAAACTTTTTTTATTTTACATTATTTTTCTTCATCTCATTTCAATGTGAAGGGTTTGTGTTCCCCTGATGATTTTCTGCCAGGGTATATGGTTTGATTACTCCTTTTGATTATGGATTTTGCACCTCTCTTATCTTTTTTATTTGTCAGCTTAATGGCTTCTGGAATGATTACTTTTGATAAGCCCTAGTCTTACCTACTATTAGGGGAAATGCCCCCTTTTATTGATACTAATAAAACATCAAGTTCTCCCCGCTATTTTTGCACAGAAAATAAAAGAATGCTGTGCTGAGGAGTGTAACTAGGAAATTTGACTTTTATTTTTGTGCAGTATAGACCATTTAACCTTAAGATAGTGTATATTCCATTATTGAGAGGAAAATTTTAAGGCTTTAATATGAAATTTATGTGTTCTAGATTCTGAGATGATGCACCATGCTTCACTGAGAGTATGTCTCTCACGAAGTTTTCTCCTGATTATGGAAATTCTGCACTTGCATGGCAGTATGGTCTTGATGTGGGGGCAATGCTGTGCTGAAAGCCACCTTCCCTAATGGGACCAGCATTGTGCCTGTCCCGCTAAGCTAAATAAAGCCAAAATTGATAGCTTTTACTGCTTTTTAATTTAACATAGGGGGATTTACATACATACCACTTTATATCTTGCTTTAAAATATTTCTTAAATGATGAATGCTCTTTGGTAAGAGAGTTGTAAAGAGTAGCTTGGTTTAGAATTTTTCACTTATTGAAGTTCTTGAATAGAAAATGTATCTCTGAATTTAATCAGGAAAATCATTTTTATGGTTTTTGATATTTCTTCTGATTTCCTCGAAACCTACCAATTGAAACCAAATTGTAATTTTAGCTGTTGCAAAGGCATTGAGGCGGGTTGCAGAAGGAAAAGCTTCAGCACAAGCAGAGGCGGCTAGTTGGAAGCGTAAATATGAACTAGAGAAGGAGCGGAATTCTAGTCTTAAACATCAAGGTTTGTGAAAAAATTCTTTGAAACATAATAGAAATTAGGGTGTTTTCACATCATCGAGCAAAATTAAACATTTATTGCTGTTTTTTTTGGGTTTACTTTTTTGATTTTTTAAAAATCGTAATTCTGTGTACATAGTTTTGTTGTGAGCTATGTTTGGATTTTTTATTTAGGTTTGGGTGGAATAGCTGCTATTACATACAACTTACCTGTTGTGGTACATGGTTCTTCTGTTCCTCTTTCTGACTTCTTACATGGGTTAATAAAGATTCATAATTTTTTGAACTTTCTGATGGTTTAAATTATATAATTGTTCTGTCAGCAGATGATTCATGCCTATAAGGTTAAAAAAGCTCTTCTGTATATGCAAATGTATGCTTTAATACATCTCATATCCTAAACTCTGATGTTCCCTGAAGATTTATGGGGAATTTTACTTTGAGATCAATAACAGTGCATCCCACTGCACTAAATTCAAGCTCTTTCATAGACGTGGCCTGTATCCCACCTTACTAAATCAAGCCACGTCATAGATGCATCCAACCGTACTGAATTTGAGCCCCTTCATAGAACAGTTGTGTAGTGAAAATTAGGTCTGATGCGGGGCGATTAAATTTCTTTATTGATATCACATGCTACTTTCACAACCCTCCTAACCGGCTCAGGACGTTTCATCTGGATGACTGTATGATGGCTAATTGGCTAGCCAGGATTACTTTTACAAATTACATAAATTCAAATTAAAATTGTATATACACAATATGCAATAATTTCCAAGTTCCAACAAATCACATTTTAGAGCTACTAGATTTAGTTTTTTTTTTTGGATGTTGGAGAAACTTATTCCAAATAACATCACCTACCTGTTTATCTAATATGTTTAGAATAAAAATCTAGTTATTGCATCATTCATATGAAGTGGGATCCAAACCTCCACCGTTGGTATCAAATATAAATTAGTTATGAAAATCCTGAAGTTACATTGAACTTCTAATGGGGAGAAAATGATCAAAATGGTCTATTGACTCTTTAGGAAGGACCAAAATAGCTCTTGTTGACGAATATTTTCGCACCGACTCGACCCCGATCGAGCCCGACAAAGTTCGACCGCGCTCGATCGACCCAATTGATCATCGTCGAGGTGAAATTAATCCAAATTGAGCCTCAATTTAATTAAATTAAATCAATTTAATTTAATTTAAATCAAATCAATCCAATTCAAAATCAATCAAACCCCGTCGAGCGTCGTCGAGTTCAACTCGACGCATTTCGACACAATTCGACGTCGATTCAAGTTTAATTTCGTAAAATTAACTTGATAGGACCCGCTCGGACCCAAATCGACCCAAATCGATTTTAGTCGAGTCCAATTTGGGCTAAATCAAATAGCCAAATCTGAAATTGAAATCAACGGCTAAGATCTGTTTGATTTTCAAATTTTGCGGCCGTTTTCCCTCAGTCTTCAATTCCCGCGGGCGGCTACAGCAGAGAGATCGCGCGAAGATCTCTTATCTCCTGCGGCAAAATACTCGAGTGAGGATGGGCATCCCGCGTGCTTGTCCGTCCCGTATAGAAGGGGAGATCGAAGGGAGAAGTGGGGGTTTTTCTTCTTCTTTTGCTTGTGTCTAGACCTGTCAATATTGGACCCGACCCGAAAATCCGACCCAAACCCGACCCGAAAATTTTGGGTTTGGGTTGACCCGACCCGAACCCGAAGCGGGTCGG